ATTCAGCTAGTATGTGGCCACACACTGGGGACACCATCTTACTGATTTTCAAGGTTTCCTTTTTTTTATCATTTCTTCCTCCTCCACCCCCCATTTTTAGTCCCGCACAATTAGCATCCTTCTTTCAAAATGTGATTTTTTTCACCCAATTTTTAAAGAGTCACTGGATCTGTGATCAGAAAAAAAAAAAAAAATGAAGTATCATGTTGGTAAAATTCCTTCTGAATTGTTGTAGATGTTTGATTATATAAGTTTAGGTGTTAAGCTCACTGAAAACTTCGGGCTGCTGAGACAATTTTAGATCAGAGTATAAAATGAAGATGGTAACCAAGCAACGTGGTTCTTGTACAGTTATTAAAAATAAAATGTGAAGCTTCCACGATGCAGAATAATCCTCTGACAACTTTGTCTGGCTTTCACTCTGCTGCTGGCTGGAAAAATGGGTGTTTCCATTAGTCGGGCTGCTCAATTCTTTTTATTGGTTAAATTTCTTATTTTTTAAGATGAGGAGTGTTGAAAATGTGTAAGCACACATGCATGCAATCATAATAACTTAATGTGACTGAAAAATTCTTAAATATGTCCTCACAAAAATTATGGATTCTAAATGTGCACAAATTTACTACAGAAACAGAAATATGACCCTACATTCATGAGGATGATAACAAGCTTGAGTAAGCAGATGTATGTTCTATATATAGCAGAGTGTTATTAATTAAAATTTTGGAAAGCTTTCGTATAATGAATAACAGTTTTCAAAGAACAGCTCTGGGGTGTCATGATGAGAACATACTTCGATCCTTATTTGATGATTTAGAAGACACAGGGCCGTGTTCTCTTGCCTGAGTAATCGTGGTATATATAGAGATCAAGATCAGCTATGTTGGAGTTCAGGGACCTTCTGTGTTTCTGGAATCCCTTGGACAGCTCTTTGGGGCTGCATATAAAATGGATAGATGGGTGATCCAATGGCATAAGATTCTTTTTTTTAAAGATTTATTTATTTATTCAAGAACCGGGGTGCAGGCCAGAGGCACAGGACAGTGAGAGGATTCACCAGAGACAGAGCGGGGAACAGAACAGGCAGACTGACAAAGTACACTGCTGAGGGGAGCAGCGGGTGAGACAGGAGAGGTCTGCCGCACCATGTGGGATTCTCGCTGGCCGGCTGGGATCAAACCCGCGACAGCTTCACAGTGCGGCGCTCAACCTCCTGCACCACCAGGGAGGCCCTGCATAAGATTCTTTATTACTGCATTGATAAATTTATTTTATATAAAACATATAGATATATGATTTTTCATAGTTTGGCTGTATAATGTCCTAAAGGAGATGTCTACCCCGACTGCACTTCAGAATCACCGAGGGAGCCTGGGCTACCCACTGAAACTCTGATCTGGTGGGTTGGTTTGGTGTCCAGGCAAAAGTATAATTAGCGCCGTATGTAATTCCAGGGTGTAGCCGGGGACATGGGTGATTGTTGGAAGCATAGATTCTCTGTAACAATCTCATTCAATCAGATCACGTGTTCCTGGGAAAACCTACGGACACAAGGATCGGGTAGGCTGTCCTAGCGTAGACCCAGGCAGACACATCTGCAGGCAGCAGGTCTTGGCAATCTCCCCTCTCCTTATCGCAAAGCCATCTTTTATGAAAGGTGGGACGCAGTGGGGAAGTTCCCTGGCAGATGCTCTGTGATCACCTCTGGTTTCACGTGGTCTTCTCCAGTGAGGAGGCCAGCGGCTTGCCTGGCGTGCTTCCTCATGCTGAGAATGTAACTGAGGCTGAGATGGGAGCTCACAGATCAGGAGACAGACGGGGGAATTCTGGTAGATGACTGGCTCTGGCAAGCCTGCTCTGAACAAACAGATCGAGAAGGAACTGCCCGCAGATGCCTCAGTCTCAGGGTGGACTTTCAACCCTGATGGCCATGGGTCCATGCCAGGACTTGTGCACCGGGTGGTCACTGGGGCTGGGTGGGTGACATCTTCTCCCTCATCTCTTCAGATCTTGGGCAGCCTGGGTTACCCCAAAGCACCCGGTGCTGAGGCTGTGACCCTCACATGGCCACACTTGGCGTAGGGAAAGGCGAGGGACTTTCAGGGATGGACAGTGGTTACTTCATAGTGTCTGGAACCAACACCCAGACTCCTTACCCCAACAAGAAGAAAGAATCTGCGTCTGCTGCAGCTTCGGGTGTCCGTGAGTGTGGCTTTAATCCCCCCGCTCTGTGTCTAAGGTCCGTACTGCTGCCTTCACAGAGTGGAAGGGGGGTGTCATGTCCAGCCTCCTCTGAAATAAGTGAAAGAAAGTAGGAAAAAGAAAAATGAATAAAGTGAACAAATACAAAGCTCAAGAACAAAACAGAAGCAATAAAAACCAAAGGGATTGACTTAGCATAAGATAAGGGGAAGTGAAATGGCTGGGAGCTGGGCAGAGCCAGAATTCAGACCAGGTCCAGGTGTCTCCAGCGCTAGGCCCTCGAGCAGCGGCCAGCGCGGTTCCCGGTGCCGAGTGGACAGCTCGCTCAGTGCCCCCTCGGGTCCCCTCCCCCTCACCTGTGCTCCTGTGCTGCTTTGCTGTTCACTTAGTAACTCTGTGCCCCCGCCCCGCCCTCCGGCTTTGTCTCACCTGCATGCACCTGCACAGGACGCTGGCGGCCACCCCGGGAGATGACAGCACCCGCAGCCTCGTTGTATCAATTGAGAACTGACTGCTCAGGCCCTCTGCTGGCAAGTCCCCGAGGGGGGCCCGGCCCTGGAATTCTAGCTCGAGTCTGCTCTGAAACATTTTCACTATAAACTATCCATTTGATATGTGCTGGTCTCCCCACATTCACTCCCGGGTAAGTGTATTCAGATTATATAAAATGCCCTTCTGTTTCCCAGGCAGTTTACAGGAATGAAAAATGGCAGGCACGCCAGCATTGCATAATAGCAACGGCCCTTCGGAGACATGGGGGGAGTCATCTCGCAAACATTATTCCCTCCGCCTCGTCCATAGACACTTCCCAAGGGGTTTTTGTTCTTTGTGGGATAATTTCCATTGCAATAATTCTTATTTGTTTGCGCAAAAATAATGGCAGGTTTCCACCATTCTAGACCGGAGACACAGCCAGCAAATTTGTGGATGCATCTGAGAGCCCAGCTCTTCCCACGAGATCAGTCATGATCTTCTTGCCAAGCCGGTTTGCATGTCTCTGATTTGATGTATGTTGACGACACTTGAACTGGGAAAGTGGGGATGATGAGTCGGCGGCACTCTCTGGAGAGCTGCGGCCGCCCTGACCTTGGTGGTGTGCATCTTGGCCCAACGAGCCGTGTGCCGCAGAGGCTGTGACTGCAGGCCAGGGCTGACGGGCTAGTGACCGCAGCCGCCCGAGAGCTCAGCCGGGCCTGAGAGGCTCCGAGTCCCTGAGCAGAGCCGAGGTCCAGCGTGGGCCGACCCATGGGGCTGCCGAGGGCACTGGGTGGGGATGGAGGAGGTCAAGGTGGAGAATTAAGTCAGAGGCTTAACTTTATGGCCAGTGCACTTGGGGTGTCCCCAGACACAGAGCAGGACCCAGCGTCCCTCACCCCTGCCAAATTTTCCTTCATTCAAGACCATTATGTTGAGTGTTAAGGGGTGGAGGCAGGGGCTGGAGATCAGCACGGCCAGAGGGTGCTCGGCAGAGGAGTCAGCGTGGACAGCCCGGTCCACAGCAGGTCACCCCGGTCAGCGGCTTGGAAAAGCCCTGCTGTTCTGACAACCGCCTAAAAATGCCTGGGGTGGGGAATGGTCTTGTGTTGCCCTAAAAGGTTAGGCGGTCTCCTTAGCTGGGTGGGTTTCTTTATTTCTCCTCCGGCTCCTCCTGCTCCTCCTCCCTCTTGGTCTTGATTTATTTCAAATCCCCCACTTGCGCCGGGCTTGCTCAGTGTCCAGCTGCCAGACGCCGGCGCGGGCGCCGGGCTGCAGCGGTCAAGTCCACCTGCCCTGCCCCTCTCGTGCCGTGTAGACGCTCGGCTCCTCGTGTGCGTGGCCTGAATGTTCCGAGAAAACCGTGTGATTTCTGTAGTGGGGAAGTGAGTCCTCTTCTTCTGTGGCTCTTGATCTGAAGCCCTAAATTCTCAAGGTCCTCCCCTGCCTCGAGGTGACATGAAGGGGGACGCGGCACCGTCTTCACTTTTACAGGCAGATGCGCGCAGCTGAGAAAGGCTGAGGCCCTTGCACGAGGTTGCATGACTCGGTGGGGTGAGCAGAGCTGGGCCTCCCGCGCAGGCCCGGCGACACCGACTCTAGCCTGACTCACGCGCTCGTCTGGCTGCTTTGGACACTTGATGCTGCCTCACCCTGCGGAGGGCTGGACACCTCCCGCGGACCTGGCCTGGGGGCTGCTGGCACCCTCTGCAGTCTTGATGGATAGCGCTGAACTTCCGCTGAACTCGGCTTACCTGTGGCCTCTCCACAAACTTACTTTCATTTAGAAAGTGGATTGCTTAATGGGATGTGACCAAATGAGCCAGGGCCCTTAGATGATGTTCACGGGTCAGCAGCTCACGTGATTTGGGTCCAGACGTGGCATCAAGGTCGCCTTGGGCACATCATCATTTCTCCCTATGAGTTTTTTTCTTCCCTCTTTGGCAAAATGGGAAAGGCAGTGCCCAGGGTGTGGAGACGAGAGGATGTCTGGAAAGCGCGGCACCTGGTCCACAGGGAGCATGGAATTAAGAGTCAATATCTTGATGACAAGGACAGTGAAGACTCGTGCCCCAGGTCTGGGGCTCTAATGCACATGCCACTAAGGAAATATTATTTGTAGGCCAAGTATCAGCCTGCAAGATACAACTTGGGATTTAACCGCAGCTTAGCATTAGAATATCTTTTTCATCTGCTCATTTTGTTTTGATTGACACAAAAGAACATCTGGTCTGCTGATGCAAAGAAAACTATCACGGGCGTCCTATCTTCAGAGGAGCCAGCCCTGCCCCACAAGCAATGACCTTTCATCTCTCTCTGTTTAGGGTTTGATGCCTATTTTACGTCCCGTACGCTGGAAAACAACAGGAGGAACGTGTGGTTTGCTGAATACTGGGAGGAGAATTTCAACTGCAAGTTGACGATTAGTGGGTCAAAGAAGGAAGACACAGATCGCAAATGCACAGGTAATTTCATCCCTGTTGTCCTGCCCCCGTCCCTCCGCGTGGCCAGCACGGGAATGTGTGTGTGGCAACAGAAGGAAGCTTGGCTGGAGATAAATTGAAAAAGCAAATTGAATTTTACTAGATTGTTTAGAAAGTAGAACAGGAGCATGAACCTTGCAGGACAAGAGATGTGTCCACGAGCACGTATTCTTCTCTGCCTGTCCATAGCAGCAGTTGGCGTCTTCATTGATACCTTGAATTCAAAGGGCGGGGTGCGTGTTCTTTGTTCTTGCTGTTAAACATCCATTCATGGTATATCCAGGACCATGAAGTAATTGTCACATAGACAAAAGCCTCTAACAAATCCCAGATGTAACTGTGTGACTGTGGAGGGTATATTTGATTATGAGAACACAGGCCTAGTGAGGATTCCAAATGGTTTTCATAAATTTGAAGGCAAACCTGCTATTTAAAAAATACACTTAAAAATACTCACCTAGTCTCATATGCATCTTTGCATAAAGTATTCCAAATTTTAAAAACAGTGTGTGTGACATTTTTGGGGATATGCATGTCTGCATACCAAATCGAGGTAGAGGTGGGCAGAGGAGCAAGGGGTCAGTGGGCAGATGCATGGATAAAAGCCAGGGGGCAGGATGAGCCAGGATCATATACGGATGTGCCCATGCATTTCAAGTATGTTTTGAGCAAGTCCTCCTTGCTAGGCATGCATGGGCACCGGGGGGCTGATTGTGAGCAGATTAGGGCCCAGGTTTCACACCACTGAGGGTCTAGTTGGGGAAAGTCAACATCCTTCCACCCACCCCTCTATGAATGCAGAGGGTTCTGAGGGCGTGAGGGGCATGTTCCCAAGGAATTCACTCGTGTTGATCACAGAAGCAAACTTGAAAGACGTCCTTGAGGGCCAAGTAGGCGTTTGCTGGCTAGGACAGAGAAAGGACAGATTGGAGAACTTCTGACAGAGGAATAACATGGCAAAGGGCTTGTAGCAGAAAGAATTATGGTGCCCTGAGGGTGTGAAAAGTAGGACTCAAGTACGGAAATCAGGACAGGTGCGAGTGAGACCAAAAGTGTAGGCTCTGTGGGCCAGGAATAAGCCAGTTCAGGACGCTTGGGAATTTGGTCTTTATCCTAAGAATCCTGAAATTGTGGGTAGGTTCCACAAGGGTGTGGAATGTTCTGCCATCCTATTACCTAGCCCCTTGTCAAGCAGCATTCCCCGATTCTATATGCAGTCCTGGACTTCACGGCCTTCAATGTATGTGAGGATGACCTGGAGCTGCCAAAAAACCCAAAACCACCCCGTGATATCAGGACAGGTGTGCTCACAGTGGGTGAGCTCCTGCGGTTAGCTCACCCTGCATTTAGCTTAGTTACCTGCTCCTGCATTTAGCTTAGTTACCAGCTCCTGAACATTGGTCATTCAGGTAGTATAGAGTCAACCATTTGACAAACATTAAATAGGAGTAATGCATGGAAAGCATGATGCTAAAAACACGGTGAGTTGTTGTGTGTATGGCTAATTCTGGCCTTTTCCTCAAGGAGTTTTCTACCAATAAGGAGAGAGAAGACATGAGTAGAGCCAGGAGCCAAAGCAGTGATACCTAGTCAATATGCATACATGGCCGTGTGACTCAACTAACTCGACTATCAGATTCGCTGCATTCTCTGGGCCATGGTGGATAGCCACAGGGTTTCCAGAAATATGATCCTTATAATATTGGGGGGAAAGGAAAAAAAATTAATTCAATGTTGACTAGACCTAGGTGACACAAAGCTTTCAAGTGGAAACTAAAAAAATTAGTTTGACATCTGGATAATTTGTCTATATGACAAGGAACATCAAGTGTAGTGGAAGCAGCAGGATGATGGATGGCAGCTCTCTGCTTCTTTGTGACATGTGGCGTTCTAGGGGGTGTCTGGAAGAGGACTGGATTGTCTGAGGGCTATTGTTCTGCTGAAGGCTGAGCCCCAGCCCTTTGAAACACAGGCCATTTCATCTCTAGTCACCTTTGATTGCTGATCATGCAGAATTTGGTTTTATAAAAACAAGTGCATTGTCCAAACCATCACCATTCAAAATGCAAATGGAACCGTTTGTGTGATTCATATCATGCTCCTTCCAGGAGAAAAAGCTGTGCTCTTATTTCCTAACCTCCTGTGGCCCCACAGCATTTGGAGTCCTTTCCACCCATCCCTCCTTACCGCGGTCGTTTTGGTAAGGTGCGCCATGTTGGATGGAGTTTCTACCATTGCCGTGTCTCTCGCTATTACTGTTACTGAAGCTGAGCATGTGTGTGGTCCTGTGTTTGTGTTTCTTGCTTGAAAATCCTTTTTCCAAGTCCAAATATTTAAAAATTCCCAATTCAAGTGCACCTCAACTTGGAAGTGGAGAAATGGGAGGACAATCATGATGAGGTTTTCTAGACTGGAGGGAAAGAAGAGGTGAGGGAGTGAAGTGACAGTTGTATTAATGAGACTCTTGAAACTGTTGGGAACTAAGTTTTAATGATGGAAAAGAAAAGGTGAGAGAGGGAGGCATGGGTGGGCTTATGAATGTGCGTGGTATATGGAACGGTAAGGAGCTTTGCATTCTTAAAGAACAAGCTTGTTGGGAAGAAGCCAGGGTCTGGCCTGGCAGATAGTGTGGACCGTGGGTGTTTGTTCCGAGAACTGCAGACTCCATGCACTTCCCAGATTTCTCTGTGACTCGGCTGTGCTAAAGAATCTGTCTTAAAATATTCACTTCTGGGTATTCAGACACACATTAAATGCTTTTTGGTTCCCCTGGACTATATAGTTTCTTCAGCTATAATGCGGACGATTTATTATCTATTAACTGAGTAGATGCTCACTGAATCAGTCATCTGGCCAGACAAGATTAGAAGGAGAGATGCAGGACCCCTACTATTTGGAGAGAGCAAATGCCTGAGCTGAGAGGATGACCCCAAGGGTGAGTTCTAAAACTCCAAGACAGTGAGGTCATGAAATAAGGATTGAAAAAAATTAACATGAAGTAAAAACTGTGATTTACATGGATTCTTATGGAAACATAGCTGAACAACCATGTAATCCTTTCTCCTATAAATTAACTATATGCATTTAAACTCTCCTCACAGAAGGAAAACTATCATATTCTTCAGTGTTTTAAGAACATCCCAACTTCCCTTGACACAGAGTCCCAGGTCTCCTGACCTCGGGAAGTAGAAAGTCTTCCTCCTTCTTTCCCTGGTGGTGGCCAGATATGTAGATTATAAGTGAAACCTTGAGAGTGACCTGTCCAGATCAGGCATTATCAACCCTCCTCTAAGGGGTCAGGCCATTGATTAAATTTACTGGTAGTTTAAACATTCACAGAAAGCACAAACTTTTTTTTTTTTAATTGGGATTTTTTTTATTGGTATTCTGTTGAGTCTGGAGATCAATTTGGGGAGAATTGACATTTTAAATTAATGTATGTTCCAATAAATGAACTTGGACTATGTCTTCATATATCTAGTTCTTTATATTCTTAATGATTCTCCAGAAAGTTTTGTAATTTTCTCCACGAAGAGCTCTGACATCTACTGTTAGAGTTATTCTCCGGTTCTTCATGTTTTTAACCCTCTTTTAAATTATATTTTTTATTATTTTATTTTTTATTTTATATATTGTTTGCATCATTCTTCATTTTTTTACAATATATGCTTTCTTAGGGAATGCCATGTGTGCTACTTGATTATGTCATGCTAGAGACACACATAGAAAAGGAAGCCTCTAGACCACTCACCAAAGGTCACTTGTCCTCATTGAACAGAAAGACTAATTTTTTTTTCATGTTCTATTAGTTTCTTTTCTCCCACCCCACTGAGATGAGTGAGTTCACCCCCTAACTTGCCAATGGGTAGGTCCCTGACAGAAAGACCAATGTAGAAAGTGATCAGTTTGGGAATGTTTTGTGGAGAAACCAAGGTCAAGAAGAGGAGAGGCCCACACATGAAGGGGCTTCTTAGAAAGAAGACGGAGTTTGCCTTGGAGGCCAGGAACACTCTGCCCTGAGGGACTGAACACCACAGGTGTGGGCATGAATGGGCCCTGGCTTGGGCTCCAGAGAAACCCTGAAGACCCAGTGGGAGTTAGGACATTACTGAACTGCTCCCCCTTTTGTTACTGAAACAGGAGTAATAAAACTTTAATTACACCCAGAGTGGGGGTATTAAGTGAGATCTGTGGAGTATCTAGGTGGCTCTGGCATGGTACAGTGGCTCACCTGCTGTCCTGGGCAGGACATGGTTGACTGTGAGTGTCTCAGTCCTTACAAAGAGCAGGTACCTGACAAATTCTGACAGGAAAACAAAATAAGTATTTACACACAGACCAGAGCTTTCCACTGAGTGTACATGGGGAGCAATGTGGAGGCCTCCACATGCATGGGAATTCATGCATCAGAGTCACCTCCTTGCTTACAAGCTCAGATTTAGAAACTCATCTTTCCATGAAGGGGTCATTTGACTTCCCAAGATGTATTCATTTTGAGATGGCAGAAGATGAATAGATTGGCTACTTTTTTTTTTGGTAACAAGCTGTTATACGCCATGACTAGTGCTGTCCAGTCACAAAATAAGCAAATTCAGATTTTATGTCAGTCCCTAATCAACCAATATTTACTGTGGAAAGACAGCAGGGGCTAAAAAGCATAGACTGGGAATGTCCACTTTGAGAAGGTCCCATCCCTGAAGCTGAGTTTGTCTTTACAGCTCACTACTTAAAACTAAGAGCTAAGTCAAGGTCTCTTTCTTGGTGGTGCAATAAGTCTATTCAGAAATGGTGTTAGTGAATAAACCATCTACTTCTCAGGTCTTGTCTTCTTACCTTGGATGCAGGCCTAATCAGAGCTTATCAAGATGGCTAGTAAGAGCATGGGATGCAGCGGTTACACTGAAGCGACAGAGAGCTTGAGGGTGTTTGTGCAGAAAGAATGTGTGCCTGCATTAATTAGTGTTCCCTGTCATTTTATTATT